TTGTTCGTCTGCATCCGTGAATTATTTCTTTTAGAATAATTTAACAGGACTGCTTCCTCAGTCTTCGTTACATGCTTCACATCTTCATACTGCTTACATATTTTATGAATAGTTTGGAATTTCTGATCCGGACGGATTAGCGGCTCCTGCTGTAATTCGGGCAGCTGAATGCCAGCAATGAGTCTATCATGCAGCTGGTCTTCCAATTGGGCACCGTGGTCACATTTGGTTGCCTGTGTCTGCAGCTGTAGCACGAAATCATGAACCGACTGAGAATGGGAGCGGGTCAACACATTAAACCTAGCTCTTTCGGCTGCTACGAAGTTAATCGGCTTGAAGTGTTGAAGAACCTTTTTCTTCAATGCAGTGTAGGAAATGTCGACTGGAGATTTAGGATATACTAAATTTCTGATCAACGTACACGCATCCTTGCCAACGAAATGTAGGAAATATGAAGTGAGTTTCCTATCATCTATATTGGATTTTGTGAGGCACCATATATCGAACCGTACCAAATAATCCTCCACTTTACGCGCAGCTGAATTAACATCTAATGGTTCCACTCCTGCAGGCATGGTGAATTGTTCCAATCGCGACGCCAAAATGTGAGAATTTAGTTTGCTACGTATATCGGTATAACCAGACGAACTAGAAATCCAGAATTCAGATCAGCGTAACAAGTAGCACGTATGTATTCGAATTGGTGAATATATATACAGCACATTGAATATTAAAACAAGAGAATAATGAATAGAGCGATGAACAGAGTATCAGTCATGTTCATCACACTAGCCCTTGTTCAAACAGAAAACCTTTGGAAAAGCCCAGTTTGAATGGAATAGAAATTGACATAACGCTGTAACAATTAATAGCACTCACTGAAAAATTTGAGACACTCTAGATAGTCACAGGTTTGGTAAAAATTAGCTTGATATTATTCAAAGCTCACTCTGGGATGCGCTATACATCTATTCAACGCCTGATGTTCTCAGCTTGATAGAATTGTTACGGCGGTACATTTTGTGAAAAAATCAGTGTATACTTGATAACGTTGACGCTTGAAAGTTCCCACGATTATTCGTTCCCTGTTTTTAACCTTCGCTCCACTTTTGTGTTTGGTGCGTGTTGATCCTTCCCAATTCACTCATTCGGCCCTGATGTCATCCAGCTTTTCGTGGCTGACTTTGTGCACGTGTGACTGTAGCACGTGGGTGCCTGTTTGCGCATTTGGTTTGTAGTTTTGTAGTACAACTGGACCATTTGTTTTGGACGAGTGCCTACGGTCAAGGTTTGTATAATTTACGAATTTGTCTCACACTAATAGTACCGCACAGAAGCGCACCTTCGACTTTGTGTCAACCTTCGTCTCACACAACCAGCTGCCACGAAAATGCGGATCCCTTCTCCGATCGCGGCACCCCTTGACGACCGTTACGGGGCCGTCCACAAACCGAAGCATGCCAGTGCGATGATGGCATGACACTGACATACCCAGTGAGGTGGCACTCCCGCAACCATTTTCTTTAGAATCTCGACCGCAACCAGTCGCCCACTCAAGCTTGGAGTCACAATTACGGGCCCGTTTCCGGGATGAGCTCTTTCGTGCCTGATGATTTTCCGCTCCAATATGGCTAGACCTGTTTATCTGCTGCAATTTCGGCTTGTGTCCTCCACAAGTTCCAATCCGTATACGGTTTTCGGGTCGCCCTATATATTGGCCTATATACTGGACCTATATATTGGCACCCATCCAACCTATACCCTGCACCTGACTGCCATAAAACAGCGCAACCAGTGAGTCTGCCCAGTTTCAGATTGAACCACATTTTTCCAGGCAAAACGCGCCATGTGCCCAAATTTGAATTATCCTATCTCCATCACCACTTTTGGCCGCCGGCTATTCGCACAATGAGACTGATTTCTCGAAATCTGCGGCGTTTTCAGACATGCCACTTCATAGTGTAGAGGTTGACTGAAATGAACGTAACTTTCAGGTATTTTTCCACCGGAACAGATTTCCTCATCATTCTAGATTCTAAATGGCCGTTGGAAATGCAATGCAACCGTAGGCGCATTCGTGCAAAAAATTTTTGTCGATGATTCTTTTTTGCCAGCAAAATTTCCGTAGTGCACGCTAATTATTTGCTAAACGTCGTGCACGTCGACTGGCAACTTACAGAGTTTTTCATTATAGGTTCCGAATCATGCTAGAAAGACCTCGGGGTTCATCGATCTTAATCGACGCACACCACTAACATGCGGCTAGGGGTACACGTTGCCTAACTAATCCATCCATCGGTAACGGAGAAAAGGCTCAAAATGGACGTCTTGAGATTTTGGAATATATTGGTCGTTTTGAAGTTTACATATTTCCTTCTGTGAGGCGCATTTTCTTCTTCGTGAGGAGCGTTCATTTGGCCGTTGAAGTCCTGAAATGAGAGGAACATATAATTCAGGTTATCGAAATATCACCATAAAGCGGGCGGCCGACAAACAGGTAGAGATACTTACCCGAAAATTCACTGCAGCGGCTATGCTGTCGTAGATGCCTGTTCACATAATGCGATCCTCAGCGGTTATTTCGCATGCCTGTTTACTGCAACTCTCAAGAAATACGAGACTTACATGTAATGCATAGGATCTCATTACCAGACAAACTTTCCGGAGCCGATGGATCACATGAAATCATCTTCATCTCTTTCATCTAGCCGGCGCTCTACAGAGTTAGTCGTAGTTGTCAGACAGACTCACGGCCGTCGAGTAGTTCCTCTGTGGACCCGAAAACACGGACGCACACGGACTTACGGGACACACTGTGCTGGGAATCTGTGCTTCGGTCCAGGTCAACATCATAAGACGCCCTTTTTGCGGACCGGATAGCAAGCACACCTCTGCGTTTTCTGGATGGGCCCGGAGCTAAGAACCCAAAGTGATTTATTTTCATGTGGACTCACCTATGGGACAAGCCTGAAGCGCACCACCACACAGTGGGCAGGGTTCACCGTCACAACAGTCGGCGTGATATGACACGCGATCCGTTGTACACCAGCGGTCACTGGTAGTAGTAGGCCGGCCACAGAGCACACAGAACCCCAAGACATCGTTTCAAGACAGCCATCTGGGTTGAGGTGCAGTATCCTCGACCACCAACGGCAGGTCGTCGGTTGCAGACTTTGAGGCTTAACACAGCAGGATTTGTCCCTGAACAATCAACCGCTTAAATATGGCGGTGGCCCTCCCGGGTTTCAGCCTCTGAAGCTTATCCATCACCAGATTCAGTTGTTTACGAAGACCGGGTCTTGCAGGGCGCCTGCTGCATTTTTAATACACCCATTCTTAATGCAAAATAGTGTTGGTGCTTCGATTACTGGATGGACGCACAAATATCGCAAACTTATCCTTCATGTATTCATTTAAGGTCTTCTCAAACGTCGTGAAGGATGAAAAAGATACACCCACAGATTTCTGAAAGAAAGCAGACGAAGTTCAAAGCCGAATATGCGCTAATAATTTTGAGAAGAGTTCGATTAAAACAAATCGCAAAAAATGATGGCAGATGAGGGGGGTTTTCAGTCTACGCATATATGCAAAGAAGTGCAACATTTTGACGTTAAAGTTTTTATTTCGCCCGCACGGGTTTAGTAGAAAAATGCATTGTGCGTCTAGCCGCTGGCCCACTTTTGCCATTTACCTAACCGCTCAGGGTCACTCATGGCCAGCAATGGTTTTCAGCTCTAGTTCATGCCAGCTGGCTATGTCTCTTAACTAGTCGGACCTCATACCCATTGTTCCCAACAAGTTTGGAAAGAAACCTATTATTACTATTTCATCGGATAATCCCCACTGTTTATGACATTGTCCTCTTTTTGTGCAATCAGCACGCCCTCTGATCCCACAGCCATGCTTTACTCTGACTATAAAGATATGATCATGCCAGACGGTATGCCACCCACAAGCTGGGAATAAACATTATTATTATTATCATAATAAGCGCAAACGTAATTTTGGCAAATAAGGGCTTCCATTGTTGGTCACCATGATAATGATAGCACTGTCACTCATTCCAGCTTCTTATCCTAACTTCTAGGCCCGTGTCTATCCGCGACGCCGATTACGAGGCCTCATCTTTGCGAGGTAACCTAATTCGTCGGCCAATAATGGTCCGGCATACATATGCGTGTTCGCGTTTCTGCTCACCTTGGCTACTTATAGTACCTGCCGGACTTGTACACATGCATGCAGCAGATTATGGGACCCCAACTCTACACAACAGCCTAATCTAACCTACACAGACGGTCCTCTATATCCCCAAATGTCGTCCGTATACCAAGCTGGAATCGTACTGCGTATTTGCTAGCTGCTCAATTAGTCCCATTAGTGATAATGAGGGTCCGTGTGTACACCGATGATTCGATAGCGGAATCCAGCGATCATAGGTATTGTTAGATGCGGAGAAGTTAAAGCTAAAGAAGGAGGTATGTTTGTCCATCACAAGACCATGTGGTATGGACTTGAGCCCTAGGATTCGAGGTTCACGTGTGTCTACAAACGTGCATCCATGGATGTAGCCATCGCGCAGACCTAGTGAGGGGGCAGGTCTTTGGCGTCATACATGCCCATTAAGAGCACTAAATCCTAGTCACTTGACTTCTGCTTCCCGACACCGACATCATACAGAATAATCACGGATTCACGGATTCACGGATTGATACACAGGATCGAGGCTTTTGCCCAAGTTTCCCGGGTCGGTTTTGTTCTTGTCGGTCAGTGGCTGTCGTTCACCTGAAAGGCGCAAGTGAAAAAAGGGTGTAGCACTGCTCTTTATGTTCTCAGCGCGGGGCAGTATGCTCGCCAGCGCGAGGATTCGCATAAATAAATGTCTAATAGTGCTTTAAATTGGGTTCGAGAAGGAGCGTGCACAACCGTCGGAGGAAGGTCATTCCACGCAGCTACTACCCGAAATGAAAAAAAGTTTTGTCTAACGGATGTGTGTGCCCTGAGCTTGAAGATT